TCTCTCTCTCTTCATCCAATCTCTAGCTTGCTCAACCACATCTCTCTGTCTCTCGCGAAGGACGAAGCAACTTTGTTTCAAACACCAACCGACAATGTTGCATAAATACCTTTAAATCAAGCTTTATACTTTCATCATATATCCTTGTCATTGAGTGTTTTTTATCATGATCCGCTATCGTCCCCTCCCTCACTATAATATAAACCGTGTTGTTCCTTGAGTGGAATATGACACTGACCAGTCTGCTTTTGTTCTCTCCCACCAGAGCTACAAGCTGGCTGTGGAACTCAAACCTGACCAGTCGCAGGCCTGGATGAACATGGGAGGCATTCAGCACATTAAGGTAGCGAACATCGATTCATTACTGAAGTCAACACACAACAACACTGACATTCGGTGTGTTTTTCCATAGATGCTGATTTACTCACAATCAATGAATACTAAAGGAAAAAATCATCAAACAGGGGAAAGAAATTGGATCAGTTATGTGTCAGATTAGTAATTCCTTAATCTACCACTCACACCCATTCCTAGTATTGAGGTGATTTGTGCATCAGCTGGGCTTAGATTAAACACTTCTTAAACAGTAAACTGCAGTTAAGCTAAGTTCATTCTGGATGGAACACATATTGCTGTATACATGTATTGTTGTGTGTGTGTGTGTGTGTGTGTGTGTGTGTGTGTGTGTGTGTGTGTGCAGGGAGACTATGCAGCAGCCAGGATGTACTACCAGCGAGCTCTGCTTCTGAGCCCTGGCTCCAAACTGCTGAAAGAAAACTTGGCCAAGCTGGACCGACTGGAGAGAAGACTGACAGGGGGTGCGTAGACCACCACGGGTCTCCAGACACTGTACCATCCTGGGCACAGATAAGGAGAGCAGGGCACAGCCCAGCCCTCGAAAGCCCAAACACCAGCCACCAGGCAGCTGGCTACTAAGATCACCAGCCCTAGTGAGAGCAGAGGACAAGAGGACGAGGAGGAGCTTGTCAGGTCTGCAGCGTGTTTGGAGGTGCACCGGGTGTGGAGTCCAAGAGACTGGTGGAGCTACAGTCCAGACACCTTTCCTGGTGTAGACAGAGTCGATTGATTCATCTTCATCAAGGGATTGCACATCCGCTTTAGACATTTGTGTTTGATTGATTTATTATGTAGGTCCATGTGAAGGCATTTCCTCTGTGGCACTTCATCACAGATTGTAATTCCTATGTGAGAACTGTTCATGTATTTACATTAGTGCAGTTGTGTGGAACATGTTATTACTTTGAAGTCAATCTGGATGAAACAGAATGTGGAACAGAATAATCTAAGCTCAAAGTCTCAGTGGTCGGTCAGCATTGACCAAGAAGGAGTCAAAGTCCAGGAGGACATTTATATCCAACACCAAACCGTAGGTGGGACATTGACGAGGACAGTCATTGTTCTGCAAATCACAAGCAGGGTTGGGGAAGCTGCTTTGAATATGTAGCTTATGACGATACAGGATACTCTTCATTGGAAATAATGAAGGCACAGCAACTCTACACTTTAGTTGAAGTAAATGAACAGGACAGGTCAGCTACCGTTCCCCCTCTCTCTGCTCCATACTGTCAAACCAGCCCAGTAGCCTGATTCTCTCCAGAATCAGAAGACTGGGAATCTCTGGGTGCAAAGTCTGAACAACTGTAGCAGTTGGTTGTGCCACTTGAGCAATAACAGCCTGCTACTGTAAATGTTGCACCTTTGAAAATCGCTATGCAACCCAAACGCTGCCGCAAAATAGCTACTGTATATAGTGCTACTGTTCAATACTGGTCACAAGCAGGTCTCAAGTGTAGTCCTAAAGCTGAGAGTACATGAGCTGAAAGTCCATCAACGTTTACTTGAAACATTCTGACAGCTCGACTCTGTTGGCCTTGTTGAACTATAATACCACACCGTCCACCGAGACCACCGAGTGGTGTTTCTGTTACCTCACAAGGGATCTTTGGCCGAGAACCGACACCCTCTTGCAGAAAGCACATTAAACAGATAATGGCAAAGTTTAATTTTGGCGAGTCTGGCATTAAAGCTTGTGTTGGTAATGTTGAGAAACTAGTGAGGGCACGCTTGATCTCCAACCAAAAAACCCTGAGCAATGTTGCCAACCCCGTTCCTAAGAAATTAGCGAGCAGCACTATCTCCAAAACCTGCTAAAAGTAACGAGAAAGTCTCCAAGTTGGCAACAATGACAGCTCGTCCCTTCATGCCTCTCTCTTTTCATAATGCACATAAACAACAAACGTGCCAATTGTTGGTACTCTCAGCTGTCGAGCTAGCAGTTAGTGGAAGACTGATGCAAAATGAGCACATGGGCAGTGTGTGCGCAGGCAGGTGGACGGGCAGGTACGTCATCACCAGTCAATCTGAATGGGACGGCTTTATACAGTCCTGCGACAGACGCAGATTATTTTTCTTTTTCTGTCAGAACATTTGATTCATTGATTGCTGTTTGGCCTCAATGACGATCTCTACTAATATAGCTCAAATGTTTTTGAAGAAGATTTCCAACCCTAGCTTTAATGCTAACTAGCTGCAGCTGATGTAGTGTTGCCTCTGGCAACATTTGTCTTTCAAATCGACAAAAGCAATTCTCAGTGCCAACTAAACTTGAATCCTGTGATCATCTTAAAATCAATTTTTTTCTGTTGGTCTGCACTCACTGCCACCTGATGACACGAGTCAGCTCTATTCACCGAAGACACACAGTTGAAAGCTCCAAGAAGTCAGTAAGTGGACCCTTGAGTTTGGATTATTGTGTTGAAGAGATGAGGTCTGACACAAGTTAGACTTTATTCCCACTCCCTGCTCGAGTATATCAGTGAAACAGGATAACAAAATGCAAAGTCTGTAGAGATCTGTGATTACATGATTAAATGTAAGAATCATGACGGCTGCCTTTTCTTTAGACGTAAACTCTGCTATGTTCTTCTGACCTCCATTTACAGAACTAGCAACATTCTACGATGATATTGCGAGTATAATGAGCTAGTTTATCTCCTCCTGTGTGAAGAGCTGAACGTGTGACTTCATGCGTACCATAACCTGAAGACTGCTGTTTGGTTTCTTGCTGTGGTTTTGTTAACAGTGATGTGGATTATGGATTATGAATGAATATTGTTGTGGAATGACAATGGGGTGAAAATGAAGTGACTAGGGCAATGACTGACTTGCACCAAGAAAATAAAGTATATGTTTTATTAAATGGTGTTTGAAGTTATTGCTATTAATATGTATAAGCCTTGACAACCTGTGGTGAACCCGTATAACCCACTATTTAGATTCACAGAGATGTTTACATGTACATCTGCTGAATTATTATTATTGTAGACAACTCAAAAACAACTCAAACCTTGCGGTCCAGACGTTTATGGACGTAACAAAGAAAAATCCGACTCCACAAGTATGTATCCAACCATTCAGGCAACAGAACAGTATCCAGTTGGGGACCCACAGATTATCCACAAGGATTTTGATTCTATTGCTAATTATTTTGGGTTTGTGAAGTCGACTGTGTTCCCACTAAAGGGCTTGTTCCATCCTGTCGTGCCCTGCAGGTCTAACGGCAAACTCATGTTCCCACAGTGCAGCTAGTGTGCACGAGTGAATGCACAGACAGTGACCGTGATAGACAGATTTGGGTCTCGCGTCAAAAGGCGGTTGAAACCATGTATCCTAGTGTGGCATTCTCCCAACAAGACAGATACATTGTTATGGGATTATGTCAAAACATTTCTCCAATGTGACCAGAAGCTTCTGGCTACCCAAGGAGAGCAGCTCAAATACATGATGACTTTGAAAAGGGCGTCATCTTTACAAAGTCTGTGTCAACAAAGCAGCCAGGACTCCTAAACGCTTTGTGAGGCAGGTTTAGCATGAGGAGTAACATGTCCTCTTGATCGCTGATCACTGAACCAGACAGATTTACATAGCTGATGTTCAGCGATCATTACGATGTGCGGCAATTCTGTTTTATCTCAGATGAAGTGGCAATGGTGCAACAGCTTAATGGGGACGGCAGAGGGTCCCTCAGAGAAGATGTCTTCATAGGGGCCAAGACCACTGCCCATGCCAGACTGATGCTTTATGATTTGTGGGATAAATTGCAGGAACATGTGTTGTAATGTTTCACTAAAAGTGTTGTCTTTACATCAGGGGCTGGTGATTGGGTGCCGCCCATCCAATCGTATCTCGGTGATTTGACAGATGAGATAAATGATGGTGACGTGTGCGAGGCCCCCCCAGGAAATTACAGCACCGTTTGTATTGGGGGCCCTAAAGTATTGTTATGCCTATCACACGAGGCTTGGTACAACACTGATGTAAAAGCAGTAATACGGGGCAATATTATCACTGCCTGACAAAAGCATTGTGATGAAGGAAACAAAGGGCGTCATCTCTATGAAATGAAGCAAAAAGTGTGAAGAAAACTAAAACAATAGGAAAAAACTTCAGAGAGCAAACAATCATATCAAGACTGAGGCACACAAGGTTAAATGAAACAATGCAGTTAATGGGGAACCGTCCATCAGGTCTGTTTGAATGTGGCATAGAAGAAGAAAGCGTGAAACATGAGCTAAAGAATATATTAAAGTATTGTGGGGTGGGAGTCTTGAGTCTCATATTGAATATATATATGAATATATAATATAATATATGAATATATTAAGCAAAGTTAGTCAAGTAAAAACTAAAGCCTTGTTTGTATAAAGAGCATTCTCCTGGTGCTGAGGGAATATGAAACTCTGGCTCACACTCCTCCTCAGTAGGTGGCGGTACTGCGCCTTTAACGATAGTTGCAGCGTGCCAATAAAGAAAACGAAGAAGAAGACGCGCTCCGTCTCTCAGTTTAAACGTCACATGCGGAAGTATCAACATGGAGAACGTCAGAGAAGCTTCCACGAATCCACTTTTGAAAGACGGTAAAGCAGCTGTATGAGTGCAGCGGTGCTGTGTGTGGTACCGAGTGTGTTCATCGATAGTTCTGAAACATGTTATCAACAGCTTTGACACATTTCCACGTTCGTCCGCAGCTAGTTAGCTCTACACAAACCCTTTTGCGAGCTAACTTAAGCAGCTATCACGTATCTTCACTTTAATAGTGACGTGGTTGTTCAGATAAGCACATTCGCAAAAACGTGTTTTCGGCACTTGAATCCAGTTTGTTCCGCTCATTGGTACAGACGGACTAACAACCTAGAGACGAAGAAGTAACGAGCAAGCGAGTGAGAGAGACAGCAGCCTACACTGCACTCATCCAGTCTGCACAAAGGTTGAAGAGAGACAGGATTTAGTTTCAGCATCAGTTTCTCACACACACACACACACACACACACACACACACACACACACAAGTGAGATTTGGGAATAGTATGCCCTGTTGTGAGTATGAACGGTTACACACGTGCTGCTGTGTTTACAGGGTGCTACACGGATTTCCTGGCAGATGGCTTTGATGTGAAGACCTACACTGCTGAGGCTATTCACCATGCTGTCATAGCTGAGCAACTGGCCAAGCTGGCACAGGGCATCAGTCAGCTGGACAAGGAGCTGCACAGCCAGGTACAGACCCAATACACCACAGCACACTGCCGCAAGGGTCTCAACCTATGTCCGATACGGTGACATGAAGATTCACTACTCAGAGCTTCGTTTACAAATGACCATCTATACGTACAAATGTGTGTGCTGCAAATAACCTGAGCTTGGAAATTCTACAGTAAATACCAAGTCAGACTTGACACAGTCTGCTTCAAAGAGCTAATGCAGCATTCACACAATCAGCCACACAGCAGCAGGCTACAGGTCCTTTAGATGTGGGACAGGCAATCGTATGTGTTCCTTTCACCCATTGCAGTTTTGCCTTACTCGTGCTATTTAACGACATAACCAGGTCAATAAGCAGCACTTTGGCTATTGTAGGTTAAACTAATGAATAGCATAATGACAGAGCCAGGGTAGGGGCCTAATATTCAGAGAAAAACCTAACAAATGTGCAAGATTATAAAGTCACAAATGAATGAGAAGAAATAATGTGCAAAACCACGGTAATGCCAGCCATTTGAATTTGTTGCTCCTAAAGTAGTGTTATTACCGTATTATGTTATTACCTTATTATGGTAATGATGACCTCTGAGCGAGGTCCTTACAGATACGTACATATATTCTTTCATGTTCTTTCTGTGTACTTTATGGACATAAATAAATACTAAAGGAAAATAGACACTATAATCATTTCTAATCTAATCTTTGACGACAAGAAGGCGCATTTCTTTATTTCAGCACAACACTATGAAAACAGCCGTTACTCAGAACACACTGAGCTCAGCAGTATTCTTGCTTGATGTCTGCACGACCAAAGTGACGTAACGCCATCGGACACAGCCCTCCACAGGGGTTCTGTGTGGCAGATGTTGTGACGTTGCGTATGGGCTGAGAAAATAAAGAAGTGTGAGGAGAACATCAGTTAGCTGCAAGGAGAAGCGCGTACGGGGCATAAATGATCCAAACGTGTCCTCGTCACGATGCTGCACTGCCGTTGTGGAAGGTGCAGCCGAGGCTTTAAACAAGCACACTTAAGGGACCCTGGCCAACTGTCACTGAGTCAGTGTGAAGGGAAAGCAACACAGAAGAGGCACAGACCCCAGATTATATGGAATTATGTTTTAAAGGTTTGCTGGTGAGGGGGACATCTGAACAAAGTGGTACCCATGATAGCCATCCATCTAAGTTTCTACTGCTTCTTTCCAGGTTGTGGCCAGACATGAAGACTTACTGTCTCAGGCGACGGGGATAGAGTCCCTTGAAGGTAAAGAGACACATTTCTGTATGCCACTATTATGACGTTATGAACACACTTGGCACCACGGGCTCTAGAATATCTTTCTCTTCCTGACTGTCATTGGCTTCAGTTCATGTCAGTCTGCCTGACAGTACTTTTGTAATAATTCAGATTTTTCAACAGTATTGTCGAGTAGTGATTATTGGAAAATTGGATATTTGCTTTGTATGTTTAAATAATGACCTGCTGTGACCTGTTTTTCAAACTCTGCCTTGTTCCATCATTGCAGTTCATGGGTTTTACCACAAGGGGGGCATTATCTTTCAGAGTAATTCTGCTAAGAAAGTAGCTCTTCAAGTCACTTGTAGTGTCAGGAACATGTTGTTGTTGTTGTTGTTGTTTTCAGGGGTCCTTCAGATGATGCAGACACGGATCAGTGCTCTGCAGGCAGCTGTTGACAGGTACATCTGTTCTCCTTTGCTGCTTCTATTAGTTGGGCCTTGAAGTTACATGATTGTTTATTTAATTTGAAAACTTGGTTTAAAAAAAAAATGATGATTCTCAATATCATCAAATATTTAATGTTTGCTACATAAGGAGCCATAAACGTTGAGGTTGACGAGAACACGCTTCATTAGAGTTTAGCACTCAAAAGCTCCTCCCATCTATCTTAAGATGCACCACGTTACCTTTTTCCATCTTAGCCCTGCAAGTATTCACCCCCTCTGTGTTTTTACTATTGTTGCTTTACAACCTGGAATTTAAATAGATTATTATTTCAAGCTCCAGGTTTGTGTAAATGGTCTTTATGTTGCTGTTCTATGCACCTCTGGTTCTTAATGAAGCCATGCTCCTCTCTCAGGATTAGGACGAAGATCGTTGACCCGTACAACAAGATTGTGGCCAGAATCACCCAGCTGGCCCGACTGCAGGTACACACACTTCATGATGATGATTCTACACTTCATTTTCTGTGGCTGTGTGCCAATCTGTCAGCTTTTCTTTTGAGATGGCAGAAGAAACTGCGTGCCAGTTTTACTGAAGAACATTATTTTACAATTGATTCCAAGCTTTCCCAAACCCACAAAGAAGCTGAGGCTGTGTAGGAGAGAGCTTTGTTATGTGCCTCCAAACTGAGCTGCACCCATCTGTTGCTCGACCAGGTGGGTGCAGCTCAGGAGGAGCCCTGGGTGGCTGAGGGAAATCATGATTGAATATTGATGACACAGCGGCTGTAAAAAGGTCAGTTTTCACATTTTCTGTGTGTGTGTGTGGGACTATGTCTCGTCTCTTGCCTGAGCCTTCGATATGAGTTACAGTGCATCTGGAAGGTATTCGCAGCGCTTCACTTTTCCCACATTTTGTTATGTTACAGCCTTATTCCAAAATGGATTAAATTCATTCTTTTCCTCAAACCTCTACACACAATACCCCATAATGACAAAGTGAGAAGAGTTTGTTTAAAATGTTTGCAAATCTATTAAAAATAAAGAACGAAAATACAACACATACATAAGTATTCACAGTATTCCATTCGGCGGCTACAAGTGTGCGACTGTTTTACCCGTGGTCAGCACTTCTTCCATCTCTCTCTCTGTCTCTCTCTCTCTCTCTCTCCCTCTGTCTCTCTCTGTCTCTCTGTCTCTCTCTCCCTCTCTCTCTCTCTGTCTCTCTCTGTCTCTCCCTCTCTGTCTCTCTTCCTCTCTCTGTCTCTCTCTCTCTCTCTCTGCCTCTCTCTCTCTCTGTCTCTCTCTGTCTCCCTCTCTGTCTCTCTTCCTCTCCCTCTGTCTCTCTGTCTCTCTCTCTCTCCCTCTGTCTCTCCCTCTCTCTCTCTCTGTCTCTCTCTGTCTCTCCCTCTCTGTCTCTCTTCCTCTCCCTCTGTCTCTCTGTCTCTCTCTCTCTCCCTCTGTCTCTCCCTCTCTGTCTCTCTGTCTCTCCCTCTCTCTCTCTCTGTCTCTCTCTGTCTCTCCCTCTCTGTCTCTCTGTCTCTCTCTCTCTCTGCCTGTCTCTCTCTCTCTCTGTCTCTCTCTGTCTCTCTCTGCCTCTCTCTCTCTGCCTCTCTCTCTCTCTGTCTCTCCATCTCTGTCTCTCTTCCTCTCCCTCTGTCTCTCTGTCTCTCTCTCTCTCTGCCTCTCTCTCCCTCTGTCTCTCTCTCTCTCTGTCTGTCTGTCTCTCCCTCTCTCTCTCTCTCTCTCTCTCTCTCTCTCATCCATGTATGTTACTCACACTCGCAGCATCACAGAGGCCTGACAGGCTACACCTCTGTTGCTCCTGCTAGCAGTGCACTGAGCTCCCTCCCCTGTGCTATCCTTTAGAAGCAGGAACAGCTCCATGGTTACCATATGAGTTGCCATAGCATGTATTACATATTATAATATAATACATATTATAAGTACAGTTAGTGTGACATCACATTCTGACTGCTGACTGGTAAAACTGTGCTCCGGCTCTCTGCATCCTGTTTTATCTATTTTATCTTCAATGTTAGACTGTTTTTGAGTTGTATTATTATGTTTTAAATGTATTTCTATCTTACATACTGTATCAATGGTGAAGATTCTGAAATAATGGAGCTAATGTGGTTTCAGGTTTTTGAATGGGTTGTGACTCCTTAACAAAAACTACAGAATGTTTTTGGTGGCAGGTTGTATCAGTCTGAGAAGACATAAGCTGCCAGCTGTGAACCAAGCGACTGAAGTGCCACTCCCAGATCAACTTCACGTTTATTTGATGAAGCAATGATATTGTAACTCTTACTTGCGTTCCTCACCGTGTCCCCCTATGTCTCTTCTTGCTTCAGATGGCCTGTGACCTGCTGAGAAGGATCATTCGTATCTTGTACCTGAGCAAGAGGCTCCAGGGTCAGCTCCAGGGGGGCAGCAGGGAGATCACCAAGGCCGCTCAGAGCCTCAATGAACTAGGTAAGGACATGATTGTTTATTCCCATCTGTTATAGAAAACCACAGATGCACCAATTGCCATTTTCTTGGCCACTTCTGATGTTATAAAAGTCTGACCTGCCGATTCCTATTTCTGAAGAAGTCTAAATGTTATTTTGTTATTCTCATTTGCATAAACACAATTCAAATGATAAGGGAATTCATTATTGTACAAATCTTTCAAGTAGTAGTTTTAATGATCTATTATAGGCTACTTGGAGCTCGTGTTAATAAGTTAAACGGGTAATAATTCCTTTGCTAATATCTATTTTATATTATATTATTGATATATATTGGCCTAATGCTCACTTTTAGTTGACAGAGTAAGGGTCAGTTAGTGAAGAGGACGGGGCCTAAGTGTAGGGTGGTGCTAGGAGTCTATGAGGCATGTACATCTTATCATGCAGAAGAAATTTGGAGCAGATTGAACAGTACGTCAACTTCCTGTTTCATGGCGAAAAGCCGCTTTTTCGGCACCACGCCATGGCAGCAATGTTGCTTGAAAACAATAAAGTTTGGTAACTTTTGATCACAAAGGTCTTCAGATTGTGCTGACCAAATTTGAAGTCGATCTGAATAAACCTGTGGTCTGAGGTAGTTTAAGTGCCTGTAAAAGGCAAAATGGGTTAAAATGGCACATTCAATTCAAAATGGCTGACTTCCTGTTGGGTTTTCGGTATACCTCCAAGATTCTTTTTGTGTGTCTCCACCTGCTTACCAAATGTCATACATGTAGGTGAAACCTCAATCAGGGACTCAAGGGTACAGGTAACATTCAAGGGTCTTAGAACTTTAGCTCTGGAGTCTTTCAGGCAGTATTGGGTCTGCAGATATAAATATCACCGTAAATCACAATTTTATGAAAGCATCTTTCCCTAGTTGCTGATAGCTGCTGGCCTCTTACATGTCAGTGCTCTGTAATGTTACGAATGGGCTTTAATTATTCGACTCTATCTCAGCATTGGCCTTCCAGAGGTTCAGCACTCATTTAATACGGTAATGGCGTGTTGAGCTATTTTCAACCCATGAAATGCAGATTTTTGTAAATTTAGTGACAAATGTCAATATTAACACCAGCATTGATGTGTTACATCAAGGTACAGTTACATAATTTACTTTACAACACAAAAACACGTGTGTAAGTGTGCAGTATCTCTTTCTTTAAACCCGCTTTTTATTCACTGTTGCAGATACAGATTAGTTTACACCAACATCATTAGTGGACTATTCTACTATTTGTAGAATTAGATTCAACTGGTGTCTGCAGAGTACTGATGGTTGACACACTCTCACAGCGAGCGCTGCAGTCCTCAGTGCTCACCATGGACGGGTAATGAGAACTGGGAACGCCGCTGCTGCTTTTTTCCAGTGGCGGAAAATCCCCCTGCAACCCACAAAGCATTTCCCCAAAGAGCGCCGTGTAGAACAGACACTTCAAACTGCAAACAAGCTCAGTTATGAATACATCATATAAAGGAGGTCATTATACCATTCGATCAGGTCACAACAGTGATCCATTCAATCCCAGGTCACCTGTTCTCTGAGCTCTTCATCATAGACGTGGTCATTGTGTTGGTCAGAATTGTAGCGTTTAACATTAGCTGGAGGTTCAGAGGACTGACCTTCTGGTGTCAGCAGACCAAAAGTCATATTGATGCATCTAATGTCACTGCCACCAGTTATCTATGCGTACGACCCTTAGTTATCACAAGGCATTCAGAGTGTTTTCAGCAGCCTGGGCCTGCTAGCCGATGACCACTTCTCATAGCACACACACACACACACACACACAGGCTCCCACAAATTCCATTGGCTGCAAAGTCCTTTTAAATGGAGACAGTGTCCTCACCAACAACCTCTCAAAGGTGACTCAGTGTCTGCTTCTTGTCTCTGCTGTGCCGGTCAGCTGTTCACCAACAATTCCAACAATTTCTCAAGTGTGTTTTGCTGCTCTGTGTTTGGTTCTGCTTCACACTGTGGGGTCCTGGAATCACTTGAGTGGGGTTTTAAGAAGGTCGTCTGCAGAGTAGTTTGATTTCCTTTCCCCAGAGGTTACCACAATTGGAAATTCTTTAATAAAATGCATGATATAGACCTTTTAGCTGATATACACAAAATGATGTCCACACACTTTTGGTCAAATTTTCCACAGGGCTTGATGGTCTCCAGAGGATGAGCCCTAATTATACCGTGGCAATCCCAAAGACGTGTTCTCTCACGTCACCATGAGGTGTTAACAGCTGTTGGACAGGTTTGCGTTGAGGTTTGGAATAAACATTCATGTTTTACTCTAATCAGACTGTAATCATTCTGGGGATCCCTTCCCCTTTCATGCGCCATCATCAGGGTTGAATTTAAGCTTCTCTATTGGTCATTTTTCTATAACCAAATAGCTGCAACGCTAAAGACATCTTGGTCTCCAAATCTGCATCAAATGCAAATAATAGCTGTTATAAAAACCTCAATACAGATTTTGAAATGAAGAGACTAATAATATATGCACTTAATTGGCTACTTGTCATGTAAAACCCATGAGTGTATGTGGATAAGTTGTAGATGTCCTGGAGAGCATTAAGTGTGACTACAATGAGATGTCTACATGGAGTGATCAGGTAGTGGTTTAGGGAAACAGCGCTACAGGTAAGAGGACAATAAATGTATTTCTGATTTGAGGGTGAACTGTTGCTTTAATGCCCTAAACCTGTGACCTTCTGCTCTGGTTCAGACTAAGTTTGATCTGAAATCACCAGACTTCAACTGAGTCCGACCCCCGTAGAGTTTCCATTCCTTTGTGCTGCCTCATCCAGTGACAGATTACTTCACAATTGTTATGGTAACAATACTGTACTGTAAGGCAGTTGCATACTGTGTGAATTAAATACTTAACAAATGAAAAGAGTATTTCCTAATTGTATTAAGAACTTTAGTGCAAAATGAACATAAGAGTTTCAAGTGAACTTGTCGAGAAAAAAATAAATATAGACAAACATCGGCCTTATGGATATCTTCTTTAAACAGGCCTGGCCTGATATCTAAACTGGCTTAGCCACAAACAAAACACTGTTAATGCATTTCTGTGTATCAGAGTCTGTGTGGTGAAGAAGAGAAAAGTCCTATTGTGCTGGTTATTGTCAGAGAATAGCCTGCACTCCAGATATGTCTGTCGTGGGACTGTTGTGTGAACTGTGCAGGAGATGGGTTCTGTGGTCCGTGTCTGGCTTTCTTGCGAGCTCCTCTTGTCTCGGTTGGGCTGAGCCTGAGAACGTTTCTGCATGTTGTGCTCTCTGGAAGCAAAACAGCTGTTTGCTTGAGCTCCACTCTGCTCCTGCTCCCATATGCAACGTAAAGTGGTGTCCTAATCATATTGCCGCTACGCAGTTTTTTAGACATCACGATAGAAACGAAATAGAAAAAATATTAACCATAGATATTTTTTATGGTTTGAAATGTATCGTCACATCGCCCAGTCCTACTGAATTGTCCTTGATAGAGCTCAACACAATATTTCATCACAAATAGCAATAAATGACCCTCGTGTGTCTATGACACCTATTTTGAGACATATTTTGTACAGAGGAAAAACTGTAAATGCAATCCTTGAACTCGTACACATTCCGCTGCAGGTAGTTTCACTCTACATGTGGTTTTACTTTAAGGAAACTCCTCCCCTGTACCTCTATATTCCTCTGATCTCAGGGTAGTAAGCTGCCCATGGTGGCTGTACTCCATTGTTAATGAGCACGTGTGTTTAGCTTGTTGAGGCTTGTAGTATATTTCCCCATCATAGTTGGATTTCTTCTGTTTCTTTTTTCCAAATACTTCCACGTCTTTCTTTGGATAAACAAAGCTCCGTATCTGCCTCCATCAGCACCAGCTTTTAAAAATGTTTCTGCCATAGTCGGTTACTTTACTTTTATAAGTGGAATGTAACCAATTCATTTCAACTCTGCAGATACAACATATTTACATTTAGGTTACTCCTTTACTCTACGTCTTGTGAGCACAGACATTTCTGTCTGGCGTCCGTGTCCTTGAAGGTAACCTTTTTATTTCTCCTGGGGTCAATCCACGAGTTATGGATGACTACATTGTTTGGGGTAGGGTCGGCTTCTACTACAGACACCACCCTTTTCTTCATCTTGCTTTTCAAAACCTTTTGGAACTTCTGCCGAGTGAAGGCATAGAGGAGAGGGTGAAAGATAGTGGTTCCATAGGCCATCACCAGGAAGCCTAAGCGGAGGCGAACAGTTAAATCACTGGGCCCAGTGCTGAGGATGATGGTGTTGAGCACAGTTATTGGGGTCCAGCAAAGTAAGAATGTGGAGATGATGAGAAGAGACATCCTGAAGACTCGCTTCTGCCTCTCCCGTCTCTCCCGATGGCGCTTTACTGCTCGTCGTAGCGCAATTATGACTGACACGGACACCCGCATGCCCAAAGGTGCATTCCCACCTGCCCTGACTCCCGTGCTGCTCTGTGAAGCCTCGGCTGTCTCTGGTTGTGTCGTAGTGCTCAGAGAAATAGTGGTTTTGCTCTTTTGCTTCTTCCTTGGTAAGTTGTGCTGAAAGCGTGTACCAATGCGGATATTAAGTGCCTGAAGGATTTTGTAGTAGGTCACCAGCATCACCACAGCTGTAAAAAAGAATATAGGGATCTGTGCTAGCAGGTGATAGTACAAACCCTGCTCTGTGTAATACTCATGTGGATGAGCCACTGTCACCACTGCAGTCTGGTTCACAAGGTCTGAACCAGAGTTGATGAAGAAGCTGACTTCCATGAAGGGAACCAGGAAACTGAAAAAGGATAGAGCCCAGATGGACCCCAGTAGAGCTACAGCCCGGCCCATCGTAAGCACACGGTTCGCCGGGCGCACTGAGATGTCATAGCGGTCTACAGTGATGGCCAGGACAGTGATGGCAGTAGCTACACTTGCAAAGGAGACGCAGGCCTCGTGGAAACAGCAGATCATGGCTGTGTCCGTCTCCAAAGGAAGTAACACCACCACTGCTGTCAGCGGGATACAGCAGACACACACCTGGAAACAAGACAGGAATTCAGGTCGCATCCCAAATGCATCATGTTTGTTCATTCTTTGTTGAGCAGCAGGTAAAACTAGAACACACTTTGCAATGACTGCAATACGATTCTAAAGGCTATACTATGATTGTATCAATCCAGAGTCCATACTTCAGCCATTATCAATGGCAATCATATATATATATATATATTAGATTTTAATTATTATATATTTTGTGACTCAACTATGTTAGTACTATAATGTCTGAAGTAGAAGTACACAGTAAGTAGTACACAGTTCTGTTGCATATTTTCTAAGTGCTTTCAGAGGCTTTTGAAGGATATTTTTGGGTACAATAAATGTTGTTCATTCTGTTCACATGACATCTATCACACTTCTGTCCATCCTGAGAGAGGATCCTCCTCTGTTGCTCTCTCTAAGGTCTCTCCCTCTTTTCTCCCCGTTAAAGGTTTTTTTTGGGGGAGTTCTTCCTGTTCTGATGTGAGGGTCCTGGGACAGAGGATGTCGTATGTGTACAGATTGTAAAGCCCTCTGAGGCAAATATGTGATTTGTGATTTTGGGCTATACAAATGAATTGAATTGAATTAAAGTAATGTCTGCACCTGGTGTTTTTACTGAACCAGAGTGTACTTCACTGGTGTTTCTGACCATTTGGGTGTGTGACTCAGCTGTGTCATGGCAGGTGTCTAGCTGAGGAGCCAAGGAAGCTGTGTTGAGTGTGAAGTTGTTCGCTTGCGCGGTTCTTGCGAAAGCGGCAAGCAGCAACACCCAGGCCAAACAGTCTTCCCGTTCTGAACAAACATGTTTTCAACTGGCACTGTACCAGCAAAAAATCCATGTTTTTTTCCTCCTTTTTTAGTACAAATATGAAGGAAAAGCTTCCACTAGCCCTCTTGAAATGTTGCTGTTTGTATGATAGCACTGCAGAAATATAACCCAAGTTGTAATAAACACAATGGAGAAGGTTGTAGCAGCATCTGGTTGAAGTAGTTAAGCTGACTTCACTGCATTCAGCACCTTAGTTGAGTAAGTCAAAGCCCTCATCAACGTGTAGGGGCAGCACGCGTAGCACCTATTAGTGTGTGTATAGCACATAATCAAACGTATTGTTATTATACTTTGTCTAATTACTGGCACAGTAGTGGATGTTTTGTCCATTTTAAAACCAGAAGCATATGAAGTGAATGAAACGTCCAGTCCCCTTTCTGTCACACTCGGCAGTGTCGTCTCAGTATCCGACCACTTGATTCCTCTTGGCTAAATAGCAGCTTTTAGATGTTAATAGATGGACTCACCACCACATCCACAACATGCAGGTTCATAGTGATGATGTTGGAGACGGAGCTGATGAGGTTCTGTTTCATACAGTAGAGGACGAGCACAGTGAGGTTGGAGCTCAAGCCCAAAACGATCTCCAAAAGTAGGAAGCCTGTCAGAGAAACCTAACACAAAGAGAACATGGGGGCATTTAGTGTGACATGTAATGTTCTTTTAGTCATCATAACGGATGATCATAATTCATTGATACTTTATATCACCAGGAAGTCTTCTTACATACTTTAGATTATTTCCTGAACATATCCTCTACCTAAGAAGATCTCTGTGGATAAACTTGCTAGCAAGGAAATATGCTGACATGTCACATTGATTTGATTAAAAAGCATATGTCAGATGCGAGGCTGCAGCATTACCTGGAAGCTGATGGGGTAGATGGGCTCGTCTGAAGTCATGTCAGCAGTGTCGAGCACCGTCGTGTTGCTCATGGTGGCTGCAGAGATCCGCACTGGGGATGTGTGCATTATCCTGATGGGAGGAAGAGGCCTGCAGAGCAGTATGCACAAAAATGGTTTATTTAAATTCAATTTAATAAATATTAAAACCATATCAAATTCTACCAGATCTTTTTTGTTGTTGTTGTTAAACTGTCCCCAGACCAGTGAACTTTCAGCTGGTCTTCTCTTCTTGTAGGTAACGTACTGTAAACAGGCAGTGAGGTGAGGATCAGGCTTACTGTACAGGGCGCTCTGGGCTACTGATTATGTGGCATTCACTTCTCTTCACACTGCTGCTCCACAATATTTTAGTATCTGTGGTTTTTTTGGACTCAAAAAAGTGCACCCTTTGTATTTTTCACCTACATTCACCAAACAATACTTTCATCACTGAATAATCAGTCTGGTAGCATTATTGATATTAGTGTGTACTGTCAAATGCAAGTGCTATATTGTCAATGTTGAGTAGGGAGTGGCACACTAATTAGTAGTTTGTGTTAGGAGGAATTGGTTTAATACCAGAGAAGTCATGTGATCAAGCAGCGTCTGAAATCACCTCCTATGACACATTTCCAAACAGACAATCCCTCAAGCACACACCAGCTTCATGCAGCGATCGACCAGGCGTGCATAGGGGAGAAGGTATGCGGCTTTTGTCTTCAAGTGTACCGCTGAGTGAAACACGATGAATTCCTTTGCAGAAAGATTCTGTTGATTCACTCCTCTCTATGACCACATATGTTTTGCCTTGCTTATGAGTGTGGCTGTTTGGAACAGCTATAAACAGTTGAAGGCAAAAGTTTCTTTTAGATGTGGTCGGACTACACATTGATGGAAGAAAAATGACAGGGATGGGAGTCTTTTTTATTTTTCACCAATGTGTGAGAAACCTCGCAGGAAAGCAAGTTAAAAGAATGTGTCCCGGTCTGTTTGCTAAGCCTAAAGCAACCCAATACGAGAACGGTAGAATATGTATTCTCTGGACCTATGGAAGGTTTGCAGTGTGATATCAGGTTAAACTCACCTCTCCCTTCCAGCAGTGTCCTCTCCAGTTCAGCAACAATCCAAGGAACTTGGTGAAGCATGTCAAACCATCCCATCATATCGTGACCTGACAAGATCAATCTTCTCTTTATCCACCTGATTCACAACATTCCCTCTGTGAACGTATTCAAGTGTGATGGACAACAAAGAGTCTGAGCTAAGCTTTAGGGATACTGGCTCCACTCAGGCGAAGGGAAAAGTCTGTTTGTGAAACACAGAAAGCAATACACACCCGCCCCTCGTTGGGGGGCATGTGGTCTGCAGCATCAGTGCACTGCACTAAGATCAATGCTTTCTTTCATGAATAGCTCTGTCTCATCATTGTCCGTTGTGCTTGGAGCGTTGCCTCCAGTCTCATCCCTGCTTGAAGAGGATGCCAGTGCCAGAACAATCCGCCTGTCTCCACTTCTCTCCACTTTTCAGGTATTTTGTGTCTTTCACACTTGTCCTGATATGGTCCACAGCACTTTATGTCATCAGGTTTGAAATGTCATATTCCAGAGAACAGTGACGGTAGACAGTAGAGATGGAGGATCCAAGGGAAATGGAAAACAAGCTTGTGTGGTTGTTCCTCTTGGCTCGAGCCGTCATCGACCCTGGGATCCCAGAAGAGGCAGAGTTGCACCAAATGGCAGAGACTTAGATATATGTCATATAGAGTCCTTGGAAAACACGCAAAGAGACTGATCCTTTGACTGTTGGACATTCACAGCCTTTGTAGTCCCCCCTTTATCCTTGCCAGAGAAGACTTGTCCCATCATTGTCATCACCTTCTCTTGCGTTCCTCCTCAGTCATAGTCCATCTCTGATCCTGCCAAGAGAACGCGTCGAAGATTTCAGTAAAATAAGTATGAAAAATAAACGTGTCTCGTGTAAATCAGGTCTTTTGCTCCTGGTCTGCATGTTGCATCGCATCCACCTAATTCAACTCATTTATCATCCCGACAGATAGCTGCTCTCTCTGTGCTAATTGGATGGCTGTCTCTGTGTTTGTGTGTTGAATCAGTTTTCGATGCCTTGCCTTTCATCTTTGATGGTTCTTGTCATGTGTTGTTCTGCTAATGATCACTGAAAACCGTGAACTGGCTCTCTGCAGACTGTCTTAGTGTATGAAATGATATACTGAGTGACTGTCACAACAACGGCCCACACGATGTCTCACTCAGTTTTAAGGCAGATCAGGATTGAGCTGGTTTGTCTTGAGATCTAAAATGTGTCATTTGTCTTTGGGCATAAGTGTCTCGGGAATTCAAGTACTGAAAACTGGCATTAAAGGTCTGCTCTGATTCAGAGTCCTATTCACTTATTCTTACATTAGATAATCATGGAAATCGATCAACATTTGGCCGAGTGCAGACTTTCTATTGAGGCTGAGATGTGTTCTTGTAAGGCTGCTTGTGTTTGACAACATTTAATATTTTAGACCTAAATGAAAACAGGTTTTGCTGAGTTTATATTTCTCAAAATAAAGTATCAAAAGTATTATTTTCACTGGTATGCTTCTTAATCTAGCAATAAATTACAATGTCTTTGCACAGTATACTGTAGTAGCTGATGAAAGTGACTCTACATAATACATGATGTCTGTATTTACATGTGTAAATGTGTCCTTGTGTCGACGTCTGCTCTACAGCTACAACAAGCCCCTCGCTCAATCAACGAGCTGCATTTCTAACTGGTGCTCTGAGTACTTTTATAATGTGTTCAACCAATAGTACCATGGCCACGGACAAGGCTGAATTCTTATTGGCTGTTTTCAGATAACTGCTCTGCTCTGATGTAACAAACTCATCAGCATTCTAAATAGTTATGAGTCTCAAGGCACCTCATGATCTGATTCCTGTTCAGAGGCCATGATTCGTTTATGAAACCATTATCAATGCGTCTTGATTTGTTTGATGCACGTTGCATTACGTTTCACTATCCAAGTGGTTCCACCGTCAGGAACCGTCTTACCAAATTGTTGCAGTTTCTGGCTTGGACTTCCTGACCGTAGTCAGAAAACACAGAGTCGACACTTTCTTTTGTGTCCAGGACCGGAGTCACTCCACTCAGCCGGGAAACAAGGCACGAACACTCCTGTCGGTCTTGAGGCGATGCAACTCCACGCATCTTAGAATCTATTTATTTCCCCACCTCTGATTCTAGAGCAATGCTGCTGGGTTCAGCTGTTTTGAGGCTACACAGCCTCCTGCTTTCATTTTAGTAACATTTAGTTTAAAGTTTGTAGCACAAAGTTCCATTTAGAGTCTCGGAGCCCCAGATTATGAATGAGCATATTCTTACGCATCAACTTGAAACCCAGTATGACCGTTGAAGTTATTGCAGAGGTTATTGTTTTATATCTGCATTTCTTGTTTGTTTTGTGGATTATACATCACATGACTTGTTTAAGACATATCTAACTTAGAAAGCTAGCAGCAAATAGAATGCTGAATATTGTGTTCAACCAATGTTGTGTTGTAACCAATCATAATTTGTAGAACATGAAATATACCAAAACATTAATGAATGGATTTTTTATTTTATTTTTGTCTCACCAGTAAAAGGTCCATCCAACATAACGCATGATTTAATGACGTCTACATACATTTGTAACTCGTATTGTATATTCTTATTGTATCCTTAAGTATGGTGGAGTACTGTCAGTCCAACCACTTCAACAGTGGTTGGACTGACGCCTGCTGCTACATTGTGGGACATGCTGAAAGACGTGGGCTTACCCTGACCTGAACCAAGCACAACTTATCCCCAAACCCAATCAGCTATCCACCTACTACTGTAAACATGCCCACACATCTCTGGTGAAACCAGAATTTGTCAAGCAAACGTTCAAATCATTGTTTGATTTTATCTTCTCAAATGGGAGGATCTGACCCACTTCTCTGTTTTACATCATTGTAAAAATTAATTTAGACTGTTGCAATTTGAAAACATCACCATGGGCTGTGATGGTGTTTTTCAGTATTTCAGCTTTTTTTTTTTTTTTTGACTGATCAATTGATCAATAAAAGTAAAAAATAAAAAACAGCAATGGAAGAAATTCTTAGGTGCAGTCTTCAATTTGCTCTCAGCTTTCATTGTCTTATATTCTGGTATACCGGTTCTCGTTCTGATACCAAGAAGACTTTTTAACTTGACTCATCTTTTCTTTAAGCTGTATCTACCATTGCATGAAATATCTGTCCTGTGGGTAAAATTCTGTTTCATGAGCTTTTCTACAACAGGAGAGCTGGTCTCTTTAGGAGGCAGGGAACCTCCACTTAGCTTGTGAAGACCCATATCCCTCGCCTTTTAACAGCCACTCATTTATCTAATTGTTCTCCACTCAAAATAGTCACTGCTTGAAAAGCGTGACTCACAGGCTCAACAACATGTCAGACGGCTGTGTGTGGTGTGATTTTACAGTGCCTTCATGCGACATTCCCTTGCTATCAGAACTGCAATGTTGGTACATGAATATGCCGTGTGTCAGTTTACCTCCAGACGAAGACCATTCCTCAGTGATCCTCGGCTCTGTTGGAGTGCTTTCCTTCCCTGTTGGGTTTTGTAATCTCAATCCCCAAAGGTAGCGTAGAGCCCACAGGTGATAACCCTGAGGGGCTGAGGTTTAGTATAGTCGTCCATCACTCTGGGATGCTTGATAGTTGGTCCGTTCAGGATGGAAATCTGACTGGTAGAAAGGATGCAGCCACGGAGCCTGGAGGGAGCAAGAGAGATGCTGACGCTGCTGCTCTGCCTCTGCCTCTCTTCTCTTTGCTCTGCTTCTGTGTCTGTAGGTCTGTCTCTCTGTCCTGCTTTCTCTCTCCCTCTGTGTCTGCCTCTAGTAGCCCCCCCCCCCCTTCTCTCTCTGAAACGGTCTTCTGCTTCTCTTTTTTTCCCGATACACCTCTGCACCTGACTAATTGCACTCACAAAGCGCATATAACACTTTTTGCTCATTTATTTGTTTCTTCCTTTCATTTCCTTTTTCAATCTTTCTTTGTCTTTTGTAAGTGGGAATAACTCTCCAGCATGCAGGACCAACAGAACACAGATCTTTTTTGTGTTTGAGTCCTTGGTTGTTTTTCTCTTTCTCATGTTTGTTTGCCCTCATTAAAGAGCCCAGGTAGGACACTGTGGCCATGACGATGCTAATGGCAGCATCCTTCCTCTCAGGACTTTGGCCACTCATCTGCTGTTTGTGTTTGCATAGCACCGGCCGGACGGTACATCTCTTAATTGTCCCTATCTGGCCACCATTGGAGCAGTCGCCGTGTTGCGCTTACTGACTGGTGGGCATATCTGGAAGGTAGCTAGTGAGTGGATTAATTGGGGCTACTAGGCATTGGCATGGCAACAATAGCATCACCAGCCAAAGAGAACGCAGACTGATGGATCAGAATTCAAAGAAGGCCTGTCTGCTGTCTTCCGGGATACACCTCTCCACTGATAATGCAAGAACTTCTCCCCCGATCTGCTCATCGTATCTCAGCTTCTCATCTCTCACTCTGCATGTGTTTATTCAAGGAGTGTAAGCAGAGATGTCCAACTGTTTTACTGACATGCGCAACTCAGCGGGAGGCATGTTTTCCCCCAGATACAAGTCTTTAGTGAGAGAGCGATAGATGGCAGACAGCAGGCTTATGGAGAGGGAATAAAGACAGATAGAAAGAGATGAAGACAGCTCGGGTACCAAGAGAAAAAAAGATGATTACACACTTTTTTTCTGAGCATACTTGAGCATGATGTGTGAGTGAGGCAGAGAAGGAAAGAGATGAAGACAGCTCGGAGACCAAGAGACAGCCAGACAGCCTTTTTTTTTAATGCAAAGATGACAATGTTGTGTGATAGGCAAATTTCACCAGTGGTGGGCCTTCAAGGCCTTCTCTGCTGGCCTAGACAGAATCACAAAGTTATAGCTATTTTATAATTTAATATTTGTTCTTAAATACACGACATGTATTATAATATATAATAATATTTTCCCCATTATCTTATGTTCTCATTGCACAGCTGCTGTCTTCCTCAGTTGCTCTGCTTCCAGTGCAGCTTGTTTTAAGTAGAGCTTTTATCCAATCAGATTTCACCTCTGTGTCTCTAGGTAAGAACAGAGACAGAGGCCTGCAGACTCACAAGTGAATCCCTTTGCAGTTTAAGTGAATGGGGACGATATTGTTGATTGTCATAGTGTTCAACCAATCAGATCTTTAGTTTGACATGTTGGGCGTATTCTTTGACGTGTCAGAGCCTGCTAGCTGGCCTACAAGTACGTGATTGGTCAGTGGGCTAGCGTGACATGTTGGGCGGTGACAATCCCAATATCTGCTGCCTCTGTCGAGCGGACATTTTCAGCCTCAAACACATTAAAACATATTCAAGAAATACAACTGGGGAGGCTCGACTGTCTTCACTGGCGTCCATGAATCCAGAAGGACTTCTTACTGGAACTAAAACGCACGGATGTACTGAACAACCGTGAGATTAAACTCTTTATTAACAAAGAAAGAAGGATGGACTTTGTCGTTAAATAGTGAACAGCAGCTCTGTTAAGTTAAATGTGTTTGTTTTTACATCTGCAGTAGCTTTAATATGCTTGTTTACATATTATTATTTGTACAACTTGTTTTTATGAAGATGGATTTTTGTTTGGTTTTATATGTGGTAGGAACTATTGTTACGTCCAATGTTGCGCTGGGGACACATTTAGTCGGTGCCAGTGTTGCCAACTTGGCGACTTTCGAGCTAAATCTGGCGACTTTCCAAACCCTCCCTCATGGCGACTTTTTTTTGTCAAAAGCTACTAGCGACAAATCTAGCGACTTGTTCTGATGTTGTTGGAGACTTTTCTGGTGTTTAGACTCTGACATTAAAGCACATACGTTCTGCACTGTCGTGATCGAGCAGCGGTGCTGCCGTGAGCCGCCCCAAAGCACTCACAGGTGGTCACTCTCACAGTAGTGTGCAGCAGTCCCAGCTGCAGTCAGAGCAGAGAGGAGACGCACTCTCGCCGTATTCATGTATCTGCACTCTGCAGTTAGTGTATTTATAGGTGTTGAGCTTCATTTTTACACGAAACAAATAATAACCGTAGCTGTGGCTTCATAATGAGATTATTCAGCTGCAGGACAGCAGTGAAGGCCCAGGTACAAAATGCACGGCCCGCCACTGAGTTTCACACCTGCAATTGCTGTAAGCACAATTGCGTTCGACAAAACATCTAAAAATGTGACATCTAGGCTATTTCAAACGGAGGTATAAATGAAAACGTGTGTGTGTGTGTGTGTGTGTGCTTTGTATATGATAGAGCAGTGGTTATATTTGGTGTTACTGGGCAAACATTGCACAATGACCTTTCGCATATTGCAAATCAAGTGGTACCACAGAGTAAGAGAAAAAGAAGCAAAAGAAACCTGCCAGAATTAGAAAATACAGCCCTCATCCTTCAGCTCTCCCCTCTCTGTCCTCTGCCTCTCCCACCAGACATATGCATGTGCTTCATACAGCCACCTGTAGAAGTATTAGTCATTCATTTAAAACAACATGCTACCTACAGTTACCTGCACTACTGCTCATTCACTTCAAACATCATCCCAATTGTGATTGTGGTTCTGATTCTATGACAAATACCGTCCTGTTCTCTTTGCAAACTTGTGGCCCTGGAAAGCCCTTTGAGATGACACACTGTGATTTGAGGCTCAAGCTAGCTACAATATCTGCACATTTCTTCAGACATCGAGAGCACATTTAGCTCCCTGAGCTCACACAGAAGGTTAAACTATTGGCAGGGTTGCCTGGCTAGAGTGAGACTTTGATATAATTGGCTTTATCACATATAGGCACACTTAATCACATGCACATATTTGGACTTCTGATTCAACATCAGGGTTTAATAAAGTATGGAACTTACCCTTGTTGCACGCGCAGTAGCTTAGGTCTAATATTAAGGGATTTAGCCACCGGGACAACAAACCAGGGAAATACAACTTCACAATATTAGACATACACTAACCCAATAAAAGTAAAAGTGTTTTTCCCAATATCAAAACTACACCAAGAGCTAAGAGCGGTTCAAAACGACCCCTATGATAGTTAGCCCACGGACTATAGCCACCTCGCCCGGACCAGGGAAACCGGGGCACCCTCCCGGAGCCAGACCCAGGAGGGGAGCTCGTAGGCGAGCGTCTGGTGGCCGGGCCTTTGCCCGGTCGGGCTCAGCCCGAATAAACACCATGGAGCAGCCACCCTGTGGACCCACCACCCGCAGGGACAAGCATTGGGGTCGGGTGCTATGCAGACCGGGCGGCGGGTCGGGCGGGATGCCCGGGCATGCTGATCGCCGGCGGCATAGACTAGCTCTAGGGACGTGGAACGTCACCTCGCTAGCGGGGAAAGAGCCGGAGCTGGTGCAGGAGGTGGAGTGATACCAGCTAGAAATAGTTGGACTCACCTCCACACACAGCGTTGGCTCTGGAACCAAGCTCCTGGAGAGGGGTTGGACTTTGACCTTTTCCGGAGTTGCCCAGGGTGAGAGGCGCCGGGCGGGAGTGGGGATACTCACGAGCCCCCGGCTGAGCGCCGCTGTGTTGGAGTTCCCCGGAGAGCGAGAGGGTCGCCTCCATGCGCCTACGGGTTGCGGGGAGCAAGGCTCTGACTGTGGTTTGTGCTTATGCACCAAACAGCAGTTCGGAGTATCCGGCCTTCTTGGAGTCGGTGGGAGGGGTCCTGGAAAGGGCGCCGCCTACCGACTCCATAGTTCTCCTGGGGGACTTCAACGCTCACGTGGGCAATGACGGAGAAACCTGGCGGGGGGTGATTGGGAGGAACGGCTTGCCCGATCTGAACCCGAATGGTGTTTCGTTATTGGACTTCTGTGCTTGCCACGGTTTGGCCATGACGAACACTATGTTCGAACATAAGGTGGCTCATAAGTGTACCTGGTACCAGAACACCTTAGGCCAGAGATCAATGATCGACTTTGTAATCGTATCATTTGATTTGCGGCCGTATGTCTTGACACTCTGGTGAAGAGAGGAGCAGAGCTGTCAACTGATCACCACCTGGTGGTGAGTTGGATCAGATGGCAGGGGAACTGGTTGGAAAGACCCGGCAAACCCAAACATGTAGTGAGGGTAAACTGGGAATGTCTGGTCGAGGACCCTGTCCGGGAGGTCTTTAACTCCCACCTCCGGAAGAACTTCTCACACATCCCGAGGGAGGTTGGGGACAAGGAATCCGAGTGGACCATGTTCAAAGCCTCTATTGTGGACGCGGCCGCTAGGAGCTGTGGCCGGAAGGTCATCGGTGCCTGTCGTGGCGGCAACCTGAGAACCCGGTGGTGGACACCGGAGGTGAGGGAAGCCGTCAAGCTGAAGAAGGAGACCTTCAAGGCCTGGTTGGCCCAGGGGTCTCCTGAAGCAGCTGACAGGTACCGACAGGCCAGAAGGGCTGCAGCTGCGGTGGTCGCGAATGCTAAAACTCG